TTTCTTGCAGGGCAGCCTGCACGAGGAGATCTGGCTGCGCCGCCCACCTGGCTTCACTGGGTCTTTCCCTCCTGGTACCCAGTGGAGTCTCCGGCGTCCACTCTACGGTCTCCGCCAGGCGCCACGTGAGTGGCACGACACACTGAGGACTACGCTTGCGGCTCTTGGGTTTGCTCCTTCTACTGCCGACCCGTCGCTGTTTCTGCGCACCGACACCTCTCTGCCGCCGTTCTACATCCTCGTGTATGTCGACGACTTGGTCTTTGCCACAGCTGACACTGCTGGACTCGCCTACGTGAAGTCTGAGCTGTAGAAGAGACACACGTGCATTGACCTGGGTGAACTGCGAAGCTACCTTGGCTTGCAGATCACCAGGGACAGAGCACGCCGCACCATTACCCTGACTCAGTCACACATGGTGCAGCAGGTCCTTCAGCGCTTCGGCTTCACGTACTCCTCGCCTCAGGCCACTCCTCTGCCTACTCGCCACTCACTCTCAGCTCTGCCTTCGGATGAGTCCGTAGAGTCGAGTGGCCCGTATCCAGAGCTTGTTGGCTGCCTCATGTACCTGATGACCTGCACACGACCTGACCTTGCATACCCTCTTAGCATTCTTGCACGCTATGTTGCTCCTGGGAGACACCGACCAGAGCACATGGCTGCAGCGAAGAGGGTGTTGCGCTACTTGTGCAGTACGTCGGGCATGGGGCTAGAGCTTGGAGGGCGGAGTCTAGTGGTCCTCACTGGGCATGCGGACGCTTCTTGGGCTGACGACCAGGCTACGCAGCGGTCGTCACAGGGTTACACCTTCAGTCTTGGTTCCGGCTCTGTTTCGTGGCGGGCTACCCGCTCGTCTTCTGTTTTCGGCTCCAGTTGTGAGGCTGAGATCTACGCCGGGGCTATGGCTGCCCAGGAGCTTCGCTGGCTCACCTCTCTGCTGATCGACCTTGGAGAGCCGCCTCGTTCTCCTCCAGTCTTGTACGTAGACAACAAGGCCATGCTGGCCTTGTGTCGAGAGCAGCGACTGGAGCACAGGACAAAGCACATTGCTCTCCGCTACTTTCTTGCTCGTGAGCTACAGCAGCGTGGACAGTTGCGGCTTGCGTACGTGGCCTCTGAGGCCAACACTGCTGATGTCTCCACCAAGGCACTTGCGCCTTGTGATCATCAGCGCTTCTGCACTCAGCTGGGTCTTGTGCCTGTCTTGCCTCACTTGCTCACTTCTTGACCTTGCTTGTATTGTCACATATATATACTCCTGCTCTTGCTTGCTTAGCCTCTTATATACATATATATGTGTGCTCTTGCATGTGAACTGGCCTTTTGGCCTTTGAACTTGTGCTCGGAATGTGTGGTGTCTTTGTGATCCACCCTGAGCTTTGCTTTGCTTGACTGTACTTGTGACCCCTTGTTCTCCCCCACTTTGCCTATGGGGGTGTGTCAGAACATTATAGCTTATGATGTTGTGTAGGCCATAGTGGGGTATCCCATAGGGGGTACAACCAATTAGGGTTTCATATTTGTACTCACTTCATTCATAGTTCATTCATTCTCGTTTCAGTTTTCTCAGAATCATCCTTAAGTCACCTCATTATTTCTAAGACAACTCATACAAAGTGAACAGACAAGTGTGGTCCTGAATATAGTGCATCTAAATACTTTATATTAAGAAAGGTTCACTATAACCATATTCATATCATGATAGCTAAATGTTATGTCTAACATATTATAGCTTGAAATCCAACATATTAATTGCAAATAAAAAAAAAACTAATACTCAATATAAACTCCCTATTGTATTTCTCATACATCAAGTGCGATTTATTAAATCTATTACAAATAAACGCCATTAATCGCACACGCAAGCACAATCTACGGTATCTATTTTACCCTCCGAACGGAAGCCCTTATGTAGCATGTTAAATTCCCGTTTAATTATTCACCTATTCCAAAGTAGCAATTGTCAGAATCCCAACCACTAGACCATTGGGATAAAAGGGCTTTTTAAGTAGCGGGTCAGTGCGCCCATAACCCCCCAGGCCAACGTGCCTGTAACCCTTCCCTAGGATCAATCGGGGATCACCAGTGGACCTCTGACACCCCCCCGCACTGGGATGCCCGAAGTGCATACACCGGGATTCGAACCCGAGACCTTCGCTCCGATACCATGTCAGAATCCCAACCACTAGACCATTGGGATAAAAGGGCTTTTTAAGTAGCGGGTCAGTGCGCCCATAACCCCCCAGGCCAACGTGCCTGTAACCCTTCCCTAGGATCATTCGGGGATCACCAGTGGACCTCTGACAGCAATCACCAACATATGCAGTTGTGATCATATAATATTTTCGTTATGCTTATAATATTTTAGTACTTTTAGATTGAAAATGTATACCTACGCAACCCATACGACGTTAAACGTCGAGTCTTGTTTCAAGTTCCTAAGGTTTCTGAAACCCCTGCTTGCAAAAGTATACTGTTGCTTTAAAGGCCGACATTCGAATTGCTCAACGGAAGTCAACGTCTTCGGAAAAACAGGAAGTTGGGAGGCTCGGAAAACTTCCGAAACCCTTTTTACCCTGAAACTTGTAGGGGCGAGTCGCAAACTGGGCCCAGTTCGTGAAGGCTTCTTTGTAATTCAGTGGCTGGAGGGATATTGGCACTGTGTAAGTTAAAACAGGGATCTTAGTTAGAAGATTGGACCTAAGAGGGAAAATTTTCATGGAACGCTTGTATAGAGATGCTCCAGCTCTTAGGGGGGTCCTTGCATCTGACTCCTCGGAGGTCGTGGGGCCGCCAACTGTTGATTGATGGCGTTCCAAATTACCCAGTGGATTCTCGCTGCCCAGTTCTGATCGGCTCCAGATCTGCGTGTTCTTCAACCGTCCACGTGTATTTCAGTACAGTACAAGCTGCATCTACCTTTGGCACTTGTATCGAATCTCTTCCCTCTTCCAGGTGGTGGTGGCGAGGTGGGTGAAGTTATCAGGGTCAGGTCGGGAGGGACTTCATAATAGTATGAGGTGATCAAGCAAGTGTATGAGAGTGGGAGGTTGGAGGACGCTATAGGAGCGGTAGGCTTTCATGTCTGTTCCCCCAAAAAGCCTGACGAGGTGGAGATTTTTGGAAGGATCATTATGAGCAGATAAAGGTCTCTTTCCCGAATGAGCAGTGGAGGAGCTACGTCGCGTGCGACAAGCGCCGCCTTTGGTGTCAGTCCGTAGGTATTATTTTCCTGAGGTCTTTTTGCTTTCATAGGTCCACCTGCGCTGTAGGGTGCATAGCTGTGTACAGAAGTGATGCGCAGCTTTGGAATTGGCATGATTGGCAGAGCCCATCGCCACTGCCACTTCCAAGTGGCGTTACGTGAGCTCAGCCATGTACAGCTGTCGCCTCTCGCGCCTTCACTCGCACGTGCACACCAAGTCCACCCATCCATTTGCAGCCATGGCTCAGGCTTCGATCTATTTGAGCAGCCCAGGAGGACACTCACTATCCATCAACTTTGAAGTTCCCCCTAGTACCAGTGTGGCTCGGGGTTTTTTAGACGGCGCGAGTTTTCAAGAGCGTTTTCTCTGTGGAAACAATACAGTCACGTAGCCACATAGCTATTCTAAGGCGCAATAGTTGCCTATGGATCTTGGCGCAAGCGTGTATGCCGAGAAATCTCGGTTTTCTAATGTGAATCGCCGGCTTGAAGCTTGGAACCGTGCGACCGGCTCACTCAAACCTGCCGTTCAGGTATCACCTGGTGTCTCGCAGCGGCGCAGCTCTGAAGTGCTGCCCAATCTCAAGGACCCGCCAACGAATTCGAGTGTCTCACGGCGAGTTTCCACCCTCGAAAAGCTCAGCGTCGGGGATCAATCGCACTACTTCCCCCGCAGAAAGTCACTCCCGGATTTAGCGGCTGCTGGCAGTGATCCGTGGTCTCCGTGCTCGCCTCTGGACCACCAACGTACCGCCTCAAGCCCCTCCTCCGAATGCTCTTCACACGCTGCTCTCCCTGTGACTGATTCGGTTATGATGAGAGAGCAGGAGCAGACATGCTGCTTGAGGAAGCGACATGTCCTTTCCTGTGGGAGAGCCATCTGCAGCACAACGGATGATGCAGCTGACACGGCATGTGCGAGGTGTTGCGATGCCGCTTCCCAGTGCGGATTTGATGGCGATGCAAGAAAGCTGATCCAGCTGCTGCAAGAGCAGATGAACATTGCTCAGAGACGCGGGTTTTCCGTTTCGTGCTTGGAGGACTCAGCAGGCACAAGAGGGGGAGACAAGAGAGTGGCCAGGCGAGGAGGTAGCGGTGGTGGCATTGAGAGTAGGAGCAGCACTGGTGGTGGCATTGAGAGTAGGAGCAGCACTGCCGTGTCTCCATTGTATAAAATAATGTCCACAGCTCCACCTGTGTTTGTATGGGCGGCTCAAAGGCGGATAGAACGAAGGGCCTTGCAAAGTTGAAATGTACATGCGTGCGCAACATCTATGAAATATCTGGTTAACCAGCCCGCGATTGAACATCTATGTCAAGGACAAATATAATTGCGAATTGTGTGTGTGGACTGTGCTGGCAAATATCTGCTGCCCTGGTGTATGAAATCAGCCCACCCCTCATGAAAAACACTTTGTGTACCTACCACCAGCCTTATCCCCTTGGGTGGCTTGGCTTGAGTTGAGGGGAGGGAGTGGCACTTACCGTATTATCATCCCCCCACCTCTCTCCCTCCCCCCCCCCCCCCACCCGACCCGACCCCACCCAACCCCATGTACCGAAGGACCCAATAGAGACTTTCTTGAGGTACAGATATGAATCGCGACAGAGTGCTTACAATTACGTTGAAAATACGTGCATCCAAACAACAATGTTGACTAGTTGCGACAGTCAGCGATGACCACCATCGGGAGGCTACGTGCGGTACTGGCACCCTCCATCCTTTTCATAAGGCCATGCTAAGCTACAATTTCCGTGCACCCTCCACCCCATGCGGCCACATCACCCACCCGGCTCATCTCTGCTGTGAACCCCGTGGCCTCTTTCCATTGGCTGCTTTGAATCGGCTCATCTCATCAGAGCGAGGCCCGTACACATCAGCGATGGATACGCGGCAGAAACTGGAAGGGGCGGGGGAGGCGTGTGGGGGGTTGGGGTGGTGTGAGTGAAGCAGAGAAGAATGATTCAGGAGCAGTAAGAAGTCGCAGCATGAATGAGCGTGAAGCAAGGGGTAGCGAGGAGGGGCATCAGCAAGGGGTTGTGTGTGCAGATAGCAAAACGAGAGCTTCACGTCCCCGGTGTCCACACAGTACCACCCCACATACCACCCGTGCTCCCAGCACACCTTCTCGCCATGGTTGCCAGTTGATGCGGTGCAATGCGGTACAGGTCCCAAAAAACGTCCGCCTCCACTCGGCAGAAGCGAGGGCGGGCTGGAGGCAGGGGCGATGGATGCACGTGCGTTTAGGGATGGGGGAAGGCAGGGGGTGCACGCATGGATCCTGCTGCACTGCCCATGGGGATTGACACGAGGATGCGTGCTGGCACACCACATCGCATACAGGGCGTGGCAGGCGATAATGCCAATGCAAGTGTGTTTACGCATCACTGCCATGCAGTCTGTGCTTGCTGCTTGCTGCATGGTGCGTGGTGCCCGCGGTGCATGCAGGGCAGCCATCTCACAGTCGTATATGCGGCATGTGCGAGTGCCCTTGTCGTAGTGCCGGCACCACCCGTCCGCCCCCACCATGCTGCGGTACACCTGCCACGCACGGCACCACAGAAATCCAACGCGCAACGCACGCAAGAGGGGGCGGAATGGGCGGAGGGAAGGAGCTGGGGAAGCGGGCAGTTTGGGGGGCGCGATGACACGGCGGGGCAGGAGAAGCGGACAAGAAGCGGTGCGATATCATCCAGGCACGAGCCCCTCACCGCCAGCTCGCTCGGGTCGCGCAGAATTGTCTCGATGGGCGGCGCCAGCTCGCCCTTATCCAGCTGGCAACACGCGCCGCATCGCTCGATGCACGCCCACCCCGCGATGCGCCCTCGCCCAATGCCCGCACCCTCGCTACTGTCGCCGCCGCCGCCACTTTTCTCTTGAAGCGGGCCTCCTGGTGCCGCACGGCTTGCCGCACGCACGGAGAGACGAGCGCCTCCCTGCTCCAAACCCCTGGCGTCAGCGGCCACGGACGAGGCTGCTGCAGCGGCGAGCGCGCGGGTACCGACGGAACGACACGCGCTAGTACTTGCGCGCTCGAGTGCGCCGACATTCAGCGACAAGCACACACCTTGCCGCAGCGCGCCAACTAGCGCGGCGGGCGCCATGCATGCACGTGTAGCAAAAGATCAGGGGTGGTGGTGGATAATGAAACATCAGTCGATGGGACACCCTTTTGTTGAAATTGTGGTGGGTTGTCAAGTCATGTCGCAAAAACTTACGATCAACCTACTATGGAGGTAGTCTCAAACTCGATCTCACTTCCGATTAGGGATTGTTACGAGTGCAATTGAGTGAACGAACCAGAATTGCACTATCGAAGCAAGAGTACCGTCTCCCCCCAGATATACCCCCATGGGGGGCAATAATAAAACAGGTTTTTTCATGGGGGTGGGCTTATAATCGAGTAAATTTATAAGCGCCGGCGTTTATAAAATGACAAACATATTTTTTTATATCTTTTAACACCAAACTGTAGGTCTCGTGCTTGCCTTTTCAATCGAGTCGAAGTTACATGGGATCGTCTGTGAAATTCTCGCGCGCGCTGGGAGATACACCCAATCTGACTCACATCCAGCTCCTGACAGGTCCTGCTGACTGGACCCGCATCCAGTGCAGGGTCCGAATGTGAAGGGAACCGAATCTGCAACATATCCGCCTGCTAAAGTAAAAATCGTTACAGCTTTTTGAACACATTTCAAATTTCTAAATTTACGTGCGCTTATAATAAAACAAGTTTTTTCAAGGGGTGCGCTTATAATCGAGGAGGGGATATAAGCGCCATATGCCAATTAGAAGCGCCAGGCGCTTATCCTAGGGTGGCGCTTATATCCGGGGGGAGACGGTACATTGAGCGAAGGCATGAGCAAAGAATATATAGCGAAACTACAGTGGTAACAGTAATGGACTATGGTTGTCGCGCGACGGGCCTGGGACTGAGGTTGGGAAAAAGTGTCGAAGCGGAGGCCCGGAGCGCGGGTTACCCACCGAGCCGTGAGGTCGGGGTGCGATGTGCGAAGGTGGCGGGGCAGATTGTCGATGCGAGGGTTGCGAGTGGTAATGGTGCTGACTGTGATGCTACAGTGATGTACCCGTTGAGCAGGGATGCGAAGTAAGGAAAGGGAATTTTCCTTACACTACCCCCCCCCCCCCCCCCCCCCCTAAGGAGGTCCTCCTTACGAGAGTGCGTGTACATCCCTGAAATTTCGGCTGCGCAGATACTTGGTGAGGACGGGGTGGTTTTCGATTCTGTCTAGGGGAACCCAATTGTCTTCGGTGGGTGTACGGTCCTTCCAGCGGAGTAAGAACTCGATCCTTCGGGCTCCTCGAGGGTCGCGAACTCTGTGACACAGGATTTTTTCGGCGGTGATGATTGGTTCAGTTGGTGGTCTTGTCATGCTGGTTGGGCGATTGCGTGGCAATTGGCTCGTGGACGGGACGTAAGGGCGAAGTAGGCTGACGTGGAATGAGGGGCTGACGTACCAGTCAGCAGGGAGGAGGAGGTGGGCGGTGACGGGTGTAAGCATGTGGCTTATGCGAAATGGCCCGCAATATCGGGGGCGGAGTTTCAGAGTGATGGGCAGTCGGAGGTTCTGAGTGTCAAGTAAAACTAAGTCGTCGGGCTGGTAAGTGACAGGTCTGCGGTGGCAGTCGGCGTTGCGTTTAGCGATGATGTTCGATTTTTTTATTGCGTCTACTGCCCGGGTCCGTGCTGCTTGTAATATTTCGGCGAACTGTTGTGCTCGTGGTACTGGGTTGTCGGGATTCGGGGTCATGGGTACTGTTGGGTCTTGTCCGTAGTTTAGGTAAAATGGTGACTGTTGGGTCGTGGCGGATGGCGAGTTGTTGTACGCGAATTCGATTAGTGGCTGTTGCTGTTCCCACGTGGTCGGGTTGTCAAACTTATATGATCTAGCCTGTGTAGGCTGGAGCGGGTTAGATACTAAGGGGTACACAATTCTAGGGTCTCATATTTGTATCACTTTCATTCCTTAGTCAATCCATTCTCGTTCTAAGTTTCTCATGGTATCGAGCAGGTTCCCTCGTGGGAACTGTTCCTAGGGCCCACCAAGATTGTTTTTTCCTACCAGGGGCGCGTGCCGGCCCTGCCCGAAGCGCGCCTAGTGTCCCGCCCTTAGCGACCCGTCGCGCCCTTCTTAGCGGCCCCTCAGGCCCCGTCGCTGCCCTCTCTAGGCCCCGCGTGGCCCCTTAGCGGCCCCGTCGCCGCCCCTTACGGCCCCGCGACCGCCTCTTACGGCCCCGCGACCGCCCCTTACGGCCCCGTCGCCGCCCCTCACGGCCCCGCGACCGCCCCTTACGGCCCCGTCGCCGCCCCTCACGGCCCCGCGACCGCCCCTTATGGCCCCATCGCCGCCCCTTAAGGCCCCGTCGCCGCCCCTTACGGCCCCGTCATCGCCCCTTACGGCCCCGTCGCCGCCCCTTTCGGCCCCGTCGCCGCCGAGCCGCGACCCCGTAGCCGCCCTTAGCGGCCCCGTCGCCGTCCCCCCCTCCCCTCGGCCTCGTCGCCGCCCTTCAGCGGCCACGTCGCCGCCCCTCCGCGGCCCCGTCGCCGCCCTTCAGCGGCCCCATTGCCGCCCTTCCGCGGCCCCGTCGCCGCCCTTTCGCGGCCTCGTCGCCGCCCTTCAGCCGCCCCGTCGCCGCCCCTCAGCGGCCTCGTCGCCACCCTTCAGCGGCCTCGTTGCCGCCCCTTGCGGCCCCATCGCCGCCCTTCGCGGCCCTGCCGCCCTTCCTCGGCCCCTCAGCCGCCCTTCCCGGCCCCGTCGAGCAGCCGAGCCACCGTCACCGCCGAGCCGCCGAGCCGCCCTTGCCGCCGTGCCGCCGAGCTGCCGAGCCGCCAAGCCGCCGAGCTGCCGAGCCGCCGAGCCGACGAGCCGCCACGCCGCCGCAGCCAAGACGCCGCAGTCCCTTCCGTCGCGGCCCTGTCCCTGCCGGCCTGCTTCGGCCCGCCCCTCCTACCTGGTAAGAGCAGCGCCTCTGCCACTGCACTGCCCTACCCCGCTGCTCTCTCTGCCAATCTACTACTATTATGACCACCCCCAGTGTTCTCACCTTTGACGATGAGGGTCGGGTTGTTGACTTTGAGGTCTGGGTAGATGATCTGCAGCTTTTCCTACAGTGCGATAGGGCAGATGGTCTCTCTCTGTTTGACCTCACCTCTGGTGCCTCTCCTGCCCCTGCTGCTGATGCTGACGCCACTGTTCGCTCACAGTGGGCCACGCGCGATGCTGCTGCTCGCCTTGCTGTGCGCCACCACTTACCGACCGCTGAGCCACGCATTTTAGTCAGTACAAGAGTGCTAAGACCTTGTACGACGCTGTCGTCGCACGCTACTCTTCCCCTGCCACTGCTGCCCTTAGCCGCCTAATACTGCCGTACCTCTTCCCTGACCTCGCCGCTTTTCCCACAGTCGCTGACCTCATTACGCACCTTCGCACTAGTGACATTCGCTACCGCGCTGCGCTTCCTGCTGAGTTCTGCGCCAAGAACCCCCCCCCCTATGTACAACACCCTCTACTACATAGTCACCCGGCTCCGCTCCCTGACACCCTTCACTCGGTCAGGGACCACTTCCTCTCTGTTTGCCCCACCACCCTCACCGTTGACCTCCTCGAGGAGCGCCTCCTAGCAGCAGAAAAGAGTCCAGTCGCTGTAGGAGCCTCTCGTGGTGACCCTCGTACCCCTGTCTTTGAGGGGTGCTCCCCCTCCCCCCTCTTGCCCTCTGTTGCCTCTGCTGCTGCGGCCGACCTCGTTGGTCTTGAGTCGGTCGGCGCGGCGTCTGCCCCTAGCGGGAGACGCCGCTCAGGCAAGGGCAAGGGGGGCAAGGGCGCTGGAGGAGCTAGCGGGGGCGGTGGAGGCGGCGGTGGAGGCGGCGTAGGGGGTGGGGGTGGCGGTGGGAGTGGTGGCGGGAGTGGGGGCACTTGTGGCGGCAGTGGAGGCGGAGGAGGCGGCGGTAGTGGCAGTGCGAGCGGAGGTGGTGGAGGTGGAGGCGGTGGTGGAGGTAGCGGCGGCGGAGGTGGTGGTCAGCGCCAGCAGCAGCAGCAGCAACGCACTCGTGAGACCCCTTCCCCCCAGCAGCTTCGTGAGTTGTACACTGCTCGTCAGCGGGGTGGGGGTGCTGGCCCCTGTACCTACGTTCTACGTACAGGCGACCGCACGGGTGAGCAGTGTGGGGGTCCGCACTCCACCCAACGCTGCTTCGGCAACCAGACGGACGCTTGGCGTCATCAGTTCCCCGACGCTACTGAGATCCCTCGCTGGGGCGAGCTGTTTAGGGTGGGTGTTGCGATCTTTGATCTTGATTATGATGCTATTCTTGTTGCGATGTATGCTGTGACTATTAGTGATGAGGGTGAATGTTACCGGTGTTTTCCGCCTGACCCGGGCATTGAGGCTGCTGCTCTAGGTGCTGGTGAGGCTGCTGCTCTAGGTGCCAGTGAGCCTGCTGCCCCAGGTGCTGGTGAGTCTGCACTCTCAGTTACCACGTCGGCTCCGGCCACCCACACCTTCACCCTTGACTCGGGTGCTTCCCGCTCCTTCTTTCGAGACCGCACCACGCTTACGCCGCTTAGTCGGCCAGTGGCAGTCTCCCTGGCAGACCCCTCTGGGGGTCCTGTCCTTGCCCACTTCTCCACTGTTCTACCGTGTCCGGTGGCCCCTTCTGGCACCCTGTCGGGTTTTTACCTCCCCTCGTTCTCTACGAACTTGGTGAGTGGTGCTGACCTCCAGGATGGAGGGGTTCACCAGTTCACTCCTACGAGTCAGCGAGTGACCCACTGTACCTGTGCTCGGACGGGCCGTCACTTGGCCACGTTTAACCGTCAGCCGGGGTCGAGCCTGTACACAATGACTACTGAGTTTCCTCCGGTCGCTGAGTCTGCTAAGGTAGCCGCGTCGGGTCAGGTGTTTGCTGTGGCGTCTAGGTCTGGTCCTGAGTCTGCCCCCTGCTCGTGTCGTCTCCTGTCTCACTAGACTCTCCTGTGGCACCACCGCCTTGGTCACCCCTCCCTGCCTCGTCTTCGAGGCATGGCCTCCCGTGTCCTTGTCTCTGGTCTCCCTCGGTCCCTCCCTCCCCTTCCTCCGGGGCCTG